ACCCCCGTCAGCGCCCTGACGCCAGCGCTGCACCTCCTGCCCCTCGGTCAAGCCCTCCGACGCCGGGGTCGCCTCTGGCAGCGACGAGGCCTGAGTCGGTGCCGGGGTCAAGGTCGGAGTTGGGGGCGGGGGCTGAGGGGATGGCAGGGGCTCCCGGGGCGGCGGCGGCGGCGACCCCGGTTCCGCTGCCCCTTCCCGGGCCCCCGGGCCGCAGGCGCCTAATGCGGCAGCCCGGCATCCCCCGCCCCCCGGCGGTCTGCAGCAGTCGGTCCTCGGGTTAGGCCGGCTGCCCCTGCGCGGGGGAGGATGGACGTCAAGAACGCAAGCGATGTGGCCGCAGCCCCCACGCCCGCGCCTCGCCAGCCGCCAATGCCTCTTATAGAATTCGGGCGGAGCGATAGCCAGCACAGCCAATCAAGGGCTGGCATGCTCTGGCCCCGCCTCTGCCCCGCCCGTTGACGACATTGCCCACACCCTTTAGGTCGTCCTCGGTCCCTCTCGGCTTTGCTAGGGCATCCGGTCTCCATCCACCTGTCCCATCTTCTCTGTTTTGGCCCCGAGTCATGAGCTCTGGTAGCTGGTGCTTAGGAATCATGGACTCCAGTCTCCACCTGGGGGAGGGTTTTGCCTATGTGACAGTGAGAGCCTGGACCAGAACTCAGGAGGCTTAACTCTGCACAGTGCTCCTTCCCGTAGCGCACCCCTTGGTCCAATCGGTTCTGCCTGGTCTTCTGCGCCACAAGGCCCACCAGGACCCCCTCCTCCGATCTCCCTGGGGCAGTGGAGAGGTTAACACAGAGGGGGGACTGGAGTCCTGGTAGGGATCGGACAGGGTTTGTTCCCCACCAGGCAGGCCCTTTGCGCCTGCAAAACAAACTACAGCGCTGCCGCTGCGTCCCTCTCGGCTTTCGCAAACCTTGATGGACCCACCAGAGGAGCCCCGGACCCCACAGTGTGCAAAATTCTTCCCATGCGCCTGCTCCTGTTTGCTCCTCCCAGTAGATGTCTCACGCCTTTACACAGAGGGGAAGCCGACCCAGAAAGTGCAGTGGTGCCTTCCCCAAGGTCACATTGCAGGTCGGTCGCTGAATCTGGACCACTGGATGGGAGCAGCTCAGCCATTACGCCCTCTGGGGGCTCAGATACCTGGGTTTCCTCCTGCCACTGGGGAGGAACACTGTCATCCTGCCCATTTCCCCCACAACAGAAATGACCCTGCCATACCCTCTCTAAACACTGGCCCAGACGCCAGGGCCCTGCCTCCGTTTCCATCCCTTTAAAGGTGCCATCAGAGATGGGAAGTCCCTGTAATGGGTGGGGCGGAGGCTGGAGGGCTAGAAACTAGTTCATAGGGATTGGGAACTGCAGCTAACCCTGGGCTCAGGGGGACCCGCCAAAAGTGTGGCCAGTGTGATTATTGCCCAGGCTGAAGAGGAGGCAGATGGGGGAGCTGCACGGGCTTGATGTGGAAGAGAACAGGGGGCTGCCCCCTCCATGCTTTCAGGTGCCTTAGATTGAGTGATTAGGACTGGTGGGCGAGACAGCTGGGCTCCTGAGAGGCAGCTCAGAAGGGGCTCAGAGAGGAGAGAGAGATCCATGAGGGGACCAGGCTCTGTGAAGGAAGGAAGACTTAGGAGGAGTGAGGGAGAAGGTGTTCAGTGTCTAGGAGTGGTGGAGACTCAGTGGAGGACAAGTAGAGGGGATCAGTGAGGGCAAGAAGAGGGGTTCAATGACTGATGGCCCAGGGAGGGGGGAGGAGTTTAGTGGGTGCATTGGTTCTAGAGGAGAGTCACAGAGGGAGAAGGAGAAGGGAAGTTCAGTGAAGGAGATAGGGCCTCTGGGACTCACAGGGATTCAATGGGGATAATGGAGGCTCAGGAGTTACCAGGTTGCCCCCAGTAAGACGGAATGTCCTGCTTAATGGTGTCATCCCTTTGAATGAGCTCCTTTGTGTCATCAAACCTTGTGTCTTTCTCTGTGCAGCACACACACATCATCATCATCATCACTCTGGGGAGATTGACAGGTGTTTTGTCTGAAGCAGGCAGATCACTGCTCCCAACTTCTGGGAGATGAATAAGGGGAACAAGACTAGGAATTACCCCCATCACCAGCCAGATCCAGAGAACCAACCAGTTAAAATCCCACACAGGGCCCATCTGGGTGACCTTGGGAAAGTCCTTTCTCTAAGTAGGAAGAAATACTCAACCTATTTTTATTTAGTGGATGAATGTTCTCTATCTCCCCACATCATACATAAGAAAGGAGCATAGGCCCTGACTGGTTTGGCTCAGTGGATAGAGCATCGGCCTGTGGACTGAAGGGTCCCAGGTTCGATTCCGGTCAAGGGCATGTACCTTGGTTGCGGGCACATCCCCAGTAGGGAATGTGCAGGAAGCAGCTGAATCGATGTTTCTTTCTCATCAATGTTTCTAACTATCTCTTTCCTTCTCCCTTCCTCTCTGTAAAAAAAAATCAATAAAATATATTTTTTTAAAAACAGAAAGAAAGAAAGGAGCATAGCCTGGCTGGCGTGGCTCAGTGGTTGAGTGTTGACCTATGAATCAGGAGGTCACAATTTGATTCCGGTCAGGGCACATGGCCAGGTTGTGGCTCGATCCCCAGTGTGCACCTTCAGGAGGCAGCTGATCAATAATTCTCTCTCATCATTGATGTTTCTGTATCTCTCTCCCTCTCTGAAATCAATATAAATATTTTTTTAAAAAAGAAAGCAAGAAAGGAGCATGAGCAACCTTTTCTTTCTGATGAGAAACCAAAGCCCCATGAAGTAGAGACTTGTTCAGGATCACACAGCAGATAAGTGGTCAAGCAAGAATTCAAACACATATCTGACCCAACCCGAAGTCATAGCTCATCTCCCTGCTATTCTCTGGTATGTCCTCTCTTCCTATCCTCTATGGCATTTCCCACAAGTTATAGATATATATGTACTTGTTTATTATTTACTTATTTAATAGTCTCTCACCCTAGACTGGTTTTGCTTATCATTAGACTCTGCTGAAGTTAAGTAGGATGTTTGGCCCCAGAAAGCATCCAATAAACATTTGTTTGAATTGAAAAATAATACAAGGGTAGATAAAGCTTGTTGAGAATAGAAAAGTCCCCTTCGTCGTGCATTCATTTATTCATTCATTTGACACATTTGATCATTATCTCCTCTGTTTGGCTGGCTGCTGGAGTTTACAGCAATGATCAGATGGGGCCCTGCCCTTAGGGAGCAAACAGGCTAAGTGGCATACAGACATGTGATGGCAGTTCAGCGAGGTATCTACTGGGATGGGGAAACGCAGAGGCTCTGGGAACACAGAGCAGACATAAGTCCAGTTGGGTGGGGAGGGAATCAAGGAGAGTTCTCTGCAGATGATATTTAAACCGAGACCTGAAGGATGAATCAAAGCCAGTGATGCAAACATGGTTGCGGGGTGGGGAGAAGGAGACAGATTCACGATGAGAATACTGCTTGCACAGGACACGAGATGAGAGCTTTGGCATTTGCCTGCTTTGTTCTTGGCTTCCTCAAGCCCTGGGCTCTGCACGCTCAGAGTGGACGGGGCCACAGCCAACCCCCTCTCAGTGCACAGCCAGCCTGGCAAACACAACACTGGGAATTAGGAAGTACATTTTTAGACTGTACTAATCATTGCTTTATTCTGATCTTTTAAAAATGTTTTCATTGCTTTTAGAGAGAGGGAAAGGGAAATGGAGAAAGAGAAAAACATCAATGTGAGAGAGTAACATCGATTGGCTGCCTCCTGTATATCCCCCATTGGGGATCAAGCCCAACATCCAGGCATGTGCCCTGACTGAGAATCCAACCAGTGACCCTTTGGTACATGGGATGATGCTCAACCAACTGAGCCAGACTGGTCAGGGCTGTTGTTGTTTTTATCTTTATAAGTTACACAGTCCTCTTGTAGAAAAGATGGGAAATAGAGAAAATATTAAAAACTTAAAAATAGAGAAGAAAGGAATCTAGAATTAGAGAGACTTAAGTTTGAACTGCAGTTCAGTCCTAGCTGTGCAATCCTGAGAAAGGCATGTTTTTTCTGTGATCTTCAGGATCTGAGAAATGGAACTGCTAACACCTATGGCCTAAACAAAAGCATTGATAGATGCAAGGATTTGCCCAAAGTATCAGAAGCTGGACATATCTGTCCTTGGTCTGAGCAAGAGACCGTGAAAAAGAAGGGGCAGCTGTTGTAGATGTTTCCCTCCACGTCCCACGTGGTTCAGGGTTCAGGATCTGGAAGAGGAGCCGCACACAAATGAAAGAGAAGAGACAAGAGATAATTTGGAAATATTGGGGGGCCATGCGGGTAAGTCCAACTCAAGAGGAAGGACTTCCACTGGTGCTCAGGCCTCACCAAGCTTTTACTGATCTGGGATACACCCATAGCATAGCCCTTAGTCAGGCAATTTCCAGTAACAGGCAGACTAGCCCATCAGCAGGCATTTCCAATAATAGACAGACTATCTTATCAATAAGGATTTACTGTCTGGTGGGGAAGTTGCTTCAGCTACCATTGTCTGGATTAACAGTGGGTGCAGGGCTCTGACCTTTGCTAGGGCTTCAAGGGTCACCAGCCTGATGTAGTTCCTTGTCCACACCTCTCTGCTAGTGAAGACAAGAGGTGGTTTCCCACAGGCAGCCCTAGCCGGTTTGGCTGAGTGGATAGAGCATCAGCCTGTGGACCAAAGGGTCCCGGGTTCGATTCCAGTCAAGGGCATGTACCTTGGTTGCAGGCTCCTCTCTGGCCCAGACCCTGTCAGGGCTCCTGCAGGAGGCAACCAATCGATGTGTTTCTCTCACATCTAAATTTCTCTCTATCTCTCCCTCTTTCTTCCATTCTTTCTAAAAATCAATGGAAAAATATCCTCGGGTGAGGATATTAACAAAAACAAATAAAGACAATTAAGTGTTTAAAAAAAGAGAGAGAGAGAAGGGGAAGCTGAGAAGGACTTGAATCCAGAATCCTGTCCATTATATCCACACCTCTCCCAGGGCAACAGCCAGCAGAGACAGAGCTTTATGGTGGGAGAGTGTGGCTGTGGCCCAAATCAGGATCCCCTCCATCAGCTGAGAGTGGGGTGGGGCAGGAGGTCAAGGCCTAAGAAGTCTACTTCTATCCCAGCCTAGAAGATTCAAGACCTCTGCTAAGAGATCCGACCTCTCTCTTTCATTCTCTTCCCTGCAACCTGACCTGGCACCCTCTAGGATGTGATATCAGTTTAATAATTTAGCAGATGCAGATAAAGATAGCAACTCTGAAAATAAACCAGCTGGGCTCAGCCTCCATC